ACCCCAAATTCAGCTGGAAGAAACCAGATTGGTTATCGCCCTATTCCCATAACGGTAGTAGGGTTACCTCTTCAGAGGGTCGGGGTATGAAAGAGCAAGAAGTGGCTAAGAAGTTTAGGGTACAAAGACCCCAAAGACGAGTAAACAATTTCTTTCTCGACTAAAAGCAAGAAATGTCCTTGGGACTCTAGGAAGCTTCCTCCTTGCCAGAGGACAAAGATGTCAAAGTGTTTGGGGCACTGTGATCTCTGTTCTGTGTGCTTTTAAAGTATATCTCATCTTTTGGTGGATGGCCTATGGAAAGAGTCTTCGCTGAATGAGTAAAAAGCAATTTGCTTATTGTATAGCTTGAGTATTCTCTCTGCTTATCACATGCAATCGCCACTGCGTGAAACAGCTTGACAGAAATTATCACACCCAATGAAATTATCCTTTAGTATTCTTTTCCCATTGACACTAAACAATAACTTCTGGCTCTGATCCTTTTATTACTTTACACATTCCAGGTATCCAGGGACAAAAACAAAACAAAATCGTTTCCTAGTCATCCAGTAGAGTAGTAGAGGGCGAAAGTGTTCCGGCAGCATTAACAGTGTGTCCTCAAAGCTCCTGTGGTTTGTGGCTCTGTTACCCCACCTACTGAAGTATATTGCGGTTGGCACCGCAAGAGTCTGTTCCTTCTTGTAGGTTTCCAGACACCTTGAAGCTAAGACTATTTTCAGGATGCAACTAGTACTTAGCATGAGTCATCGGAAAGAATTCCTGCATGAGCGAATGGGAACATGGGTGACTGAATGAATGCATGCATGAATGAAAGAATTCAGGAGCGTGTGGGATAGGATGGGTTACCTAGACAGCACAAAATTAGAGGGCCTAGAAGATCTCTAAGATGTCTATTTATTCAGTTCATGACATGGCTATGATTGACATATCATGATGGCATTGCACTTGTTCCCGCGGTCACTAATGTATCCGTTGAACAGAAACAAATGATAGAGGACAGACTTTTATTAGTGTTAGGAATTGTAAAGCATTTATGAAAAAACTGCCTATTTTGGGTTACTATACACAACATAAAAGGTACTGCCATCACCATATTATTTATTTACTTATTTATTTGTGTGTATGTGTGCATGCATATGTACATGATGTATGTGTGGACATGCATGCCACAGGGCATGTGTGGAGATCAAAAGACAACTTGGTGGAATTGATTCTCTCCTTCCACTTCAGTGGCTTTAAATGATTGTCAGTATAGTATAACCATTGCCACCATCATTTCTATAACTTTCCATCTTGGAAAACTGAAACTCTGTATCCATCAAACAGGAACTTTCCATATGCCCTACCTCACAACCCCTGGCAACTGCCATTCCTGTGACTGTCTCTGAGTCTGACTACTCAGAGTAGTAGAGTCATATCGCATGTGTCTTTTTGTGACTAGTTTATTTCACTTAGCACAGTATCCTTAAGGTTCAGTACAAAAAAATTCTAATTTTTTTAATTCACATAGGGAAAAAAGAAGACAGAGTAGACACGCGCACACACACACACACACACACACACACACACACACACACACACACTTTGTTTAGAGATAGGGTCTTACACTGTAGCCAGAGCTGCCTTAGAACTTACTATCTAGCCCAGGTTAGCCTCACACTTGAAGTAATCCTCCTGTCTTGGCTTCTCAAGTGCTGGGATCACATGTATTAGTTACCATGCACCCCGCAATTTAAGGTATTTTTAAACTGAATAAATTTCCTTGCAGAGAGGATGGTGCACAAACCTGGCAAGAATCTCAACTGTCCGAGCAAAGCCTGCAAGCAAGCAGCCCTTTGAAAAACTCTATCAAGCACAGCTCTATTTACTTTGCCCTATATGCATGCCCTGGTTCTGCATAGAGTGAAATTAGAAGGACCTGGGGTTAAATTACAGTGCCACGGCTCACTCTGACCTTGTAAAACAAAGGTAAAGTCTACCTCACAGAAACAGAGGTAGCAGCAGCCATGTCTCAGTCCTAGATAAAACTGGCTCCTCTCTCTCTCTCTCTCTCTCTCTCTCTCTCTCTCTCTCTCTCTCTCTCTCTCTCTCTCTCTCTCTTCCTTTTCCTGTGTGCATTATGTGAAGCCAGACCATCAGTCCATCAGCATGACCTTTCTGGGTCAAAGAGCAGGAGCAGCGGCCCTCACGGAACTGGAGAAAACCCTCTATACACACAGGGAATCAGACCAACGGTCTCTGATGACAGGGCCAAGTGCAGCACACTGCCTTCCTCGGTACTCGGATCACAACTGGGCTTGTTAGGGGAAGCAATTATTCAAGAGTGCTGGCAGAGGAAGGCACAAAGCAGCAAACACCTAACACTGACTGGCCAGGACACAGACTCGCTGATCTTTTTGATTCTGAAATTGGGTCACTGTATCCTCAGCAGTCACCTTGGAATTCTAATGATGGGGGACCAAAGCACAGAATGCAGAATGAGGATCAGCGCATCGATGGTGCTGGCGGTCCTGGCTGTGTCAGCAGCAGATAAACTCGGAGGTGTGGAAGTGTCTTGTTTCTAGTAAGGATAGAAGGTCCTGAAATAGTGTTCTCCCAAATTCTCACTTCCTCCTGTCTGCAAAGCACTGACTAGTTAGTAAACAGCAGCAAGAAGTTGGCAGCCAGGCTAGGGTCCTGGTGAAGGCTGCTGTCCAACCATAACCACCGTGGGTTTCATCTCTCTGTATAAATCAGGTGAGGTTGGACACATCTTCTGACACTGAAACCCTACTGATCTAGGAGCAATGTGATTTCTAAATGGATTTCTTCCATTCAACTTACTTTTTCTACAATATCTTTGTGTTTATGAGCGCGCACACACACACACACACACACACACACACACACACACACACACACGCACACACACATGACAAAGATGGAAATTATCTTCAGGAAGGGACAAACAGAGACCTGGAGGTCAAGTTGATTTGTCCCAAACCCATCTTGATATCCTGAGGTTTAGAAAATGCAGTCATTTTTGAAAGAGTCAAAATTATTAAACACTGAAAGAAAGCATTCTTAAAAGTTGCATAGTTTCACTGAAGACACCTCATGCTGGAGAGGATGTGGAGCTAGGGGAACTCTCCTCCACTGCTGGTAGGAATGCAAGCTTGTACAACCACTTTGGAAATCAATATGGCGCTTTCTTAGAAAATTGGGAATCCATTTCCCCCAAGATCCAGCTATACCACTCTTGGGCATATACCCAAGGAATGCTCAACCACACCACAAGAGCACTTGTTCAGCTATGTTCATATCAGCATTGTTTGTAATAGCCAGAACATGGAAATAACCTAGATGCCCTTCAACTGAAGAATGGATAAACAAAATGTGGTACATATACACAATGGAATACTACTCAGCAGAGAAAAACAATGACATCATGAGGTTTGCAGACAAATGGATGGATCTAGAAAAAATCATCCTGAGTGAGGTAACCCAGACTCAGAAAGACAAACATGGTATGTACTCACTCATAGGAGGATACTAGATGTGGAACAAGGATGACTGGACTGCTACTCACATCACCAGGGAGGCTACCTGGAAAACAGGACCCCAAGAAAGACACGGGGATCGCCCAATTACGGAGAAATGGAAGAGATCTACATGAACAGCCTGGACATGAGTGGGGGTAATGAAGGGCGAGGGTTGAGGGAAAGAGAGCTTGGGGGAGCGGGAGATCCCAGCTGGATCAACAACAGAGAGGGAGAACAAGGAATAGGAGACCATGGTAAATGAAGACCACATGAGAATAGGAAGAAGCAAAGTGCTAGAGAGGCCCACAGAAATCCACAAAGATAACGCCACACAACAGACTGCTGGCAGTGGTCGAGAGACAGCCCGAACTGACCTACTCTGGTGATGGGAGGGCCAAACACCCTAATTGTCGTGCTAGAGACCCCATCCAACTACTGAGGGATCTGGATGCAGAGATCCATGGCTAGGCCCCGGGTGGATCTCTGGGAGTCCAATTAGCGAGAATGAGGAGGGTTTATATGAGCGAGAATTGTTGAGACCAAGGTTGGATAAAGCACAGGGACAAATAGCCAAATGAATGGAAACACATGAACTATGAACCAATGGCTGAGGGGTCACCAACTGGATCAGGCCATCTGAATGGGTGAGACAGTTGATTGGCTTGATCTGTTTGGGAGGCATCCAGGCAGTGGAACCGGGTCCTGTGCTCATTGCATGAGTTGGCTGTTTGAAACCTGGGGCCTATGCAGGATCGCTTGGCCTGGGAGGAGGGGACTGGACCTACCTGGACTGAGTCTACGAGGTTGATCTCAGTCTGCAGGGGAGGCTTTGCCCTGGAGGAGGTGGGAATGGGGGGTGGGCTGGGAGGAAGGTGAGGGGGGCCGGAGGGGGGAGAACAAGGGAATCCGTGGCTGATATGTAGAACTGAATTGTATTGCAAAATAAAAATTAAAAATTTAAAAAAAAGTTGCATAGTTTCACAACAGTGTGGTCGTGAGGGAATTCAGGGTGATGCTACATTACAGGGTGATAGCACAGGTGGTCCAGCTGTCACACAAGTGTGAGCGGTTTTCTGGGGACCCAGGAGGAAAAACCTCGGATCCTTTAAATCTCAGTTCAAATCTGACTCTCTCCAGGATCTTTCCCGACTTCTGCTCATCCCAAGCCCACCCCCAGGAACACACCATAAGTCACACTTCACTGGCCTTCTACAGCACTTTCCTGGTGTCTTCCATGACATTTATAGTGTCCCTCTCATATTATAAAAATTGATACATTTTGTCTCCTTTATTATTAGTTCCTCATATGTCCCCAAATTGCTAGTAGAAATAAATGCTTGTAGAAATGATGGTTTTCAGAAAAATGATTTCTAAATTTTTTTTACTATAATGCATAAATAAAAGATAGCTTACATTGTTACATGGTATAACTAAATTGTACCTAAATAAAAATAAAATGTAGTTTTTGAAACTTACTGTGTAGTTTGAGTATACAAAAGTAATCCACACTGTGTTTAGTCTGTATCTGGTTGTAGGTGCTGGGAAGCTAAATACTTTTCCAGACTCTCTTGCAGCTATGCACAGCCATGACACTTTCTGGCCAATAAAGTGTAAATAGAAGTCACAGAAGTATCTTCTAGGAAAGAATTCTTTGAAGCATGAGATTCTTCTGGTCCCTCCTTTCTGCCCTTTCTTTTCTTGTTTTCACCTGAAACATGGAAACAATGCCTAGAAGTATCAAAAGGAAGCTATTGGCAAACTGACCTTACACATAATAAATATTTTTGGACTTAATAGAATTCTTTAAAATAAGTTATCTAAATTTATTTTAGAGGGCCTCAAGTACTTCCATCTATGAGAATGGCTTTGTTTGAGATCTCTTGTAGAAAACACCCTCTGTGGTCATTTCCATAGAAAAGAATTCCTTGGGTCAAAATTCAAATCATGTATTTAATTTCACTCCCACACATGGAGATAGTAATAGACAACACAAGGACGAGAACCCCACTCCTTTCTCCAAGTTTTCACAGCCTGTGGAAGAAGCGAAAACATCAGCTGCCTGGTACTACAAGGTAGACACTACCCTTGGGATACAGGCCACTGGGGGGATGTGGAAAAGATTCACACACTTGTCGAAGTGTCACAGGCAACAAAACCCAGCAAACTTCACTCAGTGGTCTTTTAGACAATGAACTGGAAGAGTCCTTGTCCAACATTTTAAAGATAGACAACATTTTAAAACAACATTCCCTATAAACAGGAGCTTTAACTCATAATGGCTAAGTTAATTAAATCAAGCTATTCAAGTCCACAGTGTGTGATGCTGGTCTCAATACGGTCCTAGGATTCTCTTCTTGGGGAAGGACTTAGAGACAACCTTTACTCAAACTGACACAAAATCAATGGTGCCTAATTTTTTTAAATTGAAACCAACCTAAAAACAAACAAACAAAAACACTGCCAAGCCAGAGGAAAAGATTTCAAATAATATGGTTTAGGTACAATTTCTATTTTAGTTCACAAATTTTTTTTTAGTCTTAAATAAAACTAAATTTTTTGTGTGTAGACTTGTCAGGAAGAACAGTTGCCAGACTGTAATATGTATAAAGCTGTACTTCCTCTAGCTACGTATCTGTTAGGAATATTTTATCACCTTTTTCTATCTTGGAGTTATTATATGGTGATCATAAATAATTCACTTCTTAGGTTAAATGAAATAGGTTTAATTAAATATTTTAAACTTTTTAAATACTTGACATTTGAGGAGCTCATTTTTACTTTTTTTCATGCATGTTTCTTTACAACCAAAGTTTTAAAGACAGAGCGAAGAATCAGAGTTCTACAAGCTTATCATACAACAGCTGTGCCCTGCCCATCCCATTCTACCCACTTCCCTCGTTCAAATCCTTGAGTATTTCTCTTGGCAATGAACTCCATGTCCTCAAATAACATATTACATTGCTACTCTTGATTTCCAGTTGTTATCTTTTCATCTTTTGACTTCTCACCCTAGAGGTTAGCCTGCACACCCACCACCAACTCCACCCACACTCCCCACCTTACCACTAGTTATTTTACCCTTCTGTCCTATATTTCGTTTTTATACTAATCCTGTGTAATTGCAACTCACAGCTGAACCATGTGTCACACTAACAGATTACTTGTCATTTCTCAAGGAACTCTTTTTTTTTTTTTAATTTTTTTTTTTGGTTTTTCGAGACAGGGTTTCTCTGTGTAGCTTTGCGCCTTTCCTGGAACTCGCTTTGGAGACCAGGCTGGCCTCGAACTCACAGAGATCCGCCTTGCTCTGCCTCCCGAGTGCTGGGATTAAAGGCGTGCGCCACCACCGCCCGGCCTCAAGGAACTCTTATATGCCCACCCCCATCCTACTCCAAGTGACTAATTGTTTTAATATAGACTTATGTATCTAATTCCAATTATTTTCAAAATCACCCACAAAGTGTGCTTTTGATAAGTTAAATCAAGAATTCTGTCAATTTTGCTAGGGAAGGCAGAGGCAGAGGCAGGAGAAGCACGAATTCTACACCAACTTGGGCTAGTGAGACCCTGTGTCTCAACATCAACAACAAATCCTATTTCATCCTCTTGGAGACATGCATGGTCCCCTGCGATGCCCAGCCTATCCCTGAGATGTCCATCCTATCCCTGACATGTCCAGCCTATCCCTGAGATGTCCAGCTTATCCCTGAGACATCCAGCCTATCCCTGTTTGAGCTAGTCTGCTTGTCAGGCCCACTTTAAGGCTATTATTTGGAGATTTTTTTTTCTGTAGTACCTGAGAGGTTCCTTTGACTACTATGTGAAATTCATTATTTCCTGATTTCCACATTTTTCTCTTCTCTTTTGACATCCTGTTTTGATAAAGAATATAGTAACTTCCCAGGAAAGGGAGTCTGGGAGGGTATGTCTGTGTGCATGGCAGGTGGGTGTCATTTGATGGTCTCAGGGGCCAGTGTAAGCACTCTTACAGCCTGAGTGTGAATGCAGGGAGCTTGGCCTTAAGAATACCTTGAACTTTCTAATGAATATGTTTGCCTTTTTTCAAAAACCATAGTAATTATCACAGCTCAATGGTCTTCATTAAAGAGCCTCATGTTCTTATACAACCTAAGTGAGATCTGATTATTAGAGACCAAGTTATTACAGAGGAGGCAAGAAAAAAGAGGAGAAGAATAATGACTTTCCCCACCCAGTTCAGATAAGCCAGCCCACTATTTGCTTTAGGGAACTACGCAACCCACTCTGACTACAAAACAGCTTTCGTGAGCCTGATGGGAAAATTTCCACACAGCTAACACTGAAAGAGACTGCCGATCAGAATACATCAGCCTTTCACTGCTGGAACTTTCCAGATAAAACATTCTGATGGACAGTGACAAGAAGGGCCAAGAAAGAAAAAATCTTCTTCAGTAAGTTGCCTGTTAGTTACTTTCCATAACCATGAGCAAATACCTCACTGATGCAAAAGAAGAACTGTTTGTTTGCAGTTCATGACTGCAGATGCCTCAGATGCCTCAGTCGATGGCTGCTTAACTCCAGGTCCTTGGGGCAGAACATTACGGCGGCATTGGAAGCATGTGGTGAAGGAGGTTCTCACTCCATGATGGAAAGGAAGCAGAGAGAGAGAGAGAGAGAGAGAGAGAGAGAGAGAGAGAGAGAGAGAGAGAGAGAGAGAGAGAGAGAGAGAGAGAGAGAGAGATACAGGAAGGGGTCAGGGACAAGACACTGTCAAGGACTCATCCACAGTGACCTACTGCCTCCAGTCACGTTCCAGAACCTCTCAGAAGAGTGCCACTATGCAACACATGAGTACACAGGAGACATTTCATATCCAAAGCGTAACAGGAGCGCTTTCAAACACTAACACTCTCTAGAGTTCGGGTTTATAATTAGGGTACAATCCACCCTTGGGACTTGGACTTCGGGTCTCTGCTTCCTGTGTTCCTCAGTTGTATATGATTCAGAAACTCCTTAGGACCTTTCCAAACTCATTAGATGTCTAGAAAAACAGAGGGGCTTGAGCTTAAAGATGTGTGGCCTGAGGACAAGCAAGACAGTAATTTTTAAAGCACTGAAAGAGTGCAGTGTGCCTCACGAGAGTCCCCATGGGGACTGACAGAAAGACAATGTCCAGAATGACACTATTTGTACCAGTTCACTGGGTCCGGAAGTCCTTCAGTGGAAGACTGAGCTATAGCACAGTAATTTCAATACACACTCTGCTACTTTTCAGAAAACAGGTTTCAACAGAATAAAAAACTCAGGTTGGGAAAAGAATCCTGAAGGAAGACATAGGCCACAAAGAGGATTATTTGATGCGTTAACAGGATAAAATAATTTGCAACTTTGCAAATGCCAACTCTCTAACCCAAAATCCAGAAAGAAGCAAGTGAATCTTAAATTTATTTTTTAATTTTTTCAGGACAGGGTCTCTCCTGTATGTAGCCCTGGCTGGCCTCAAACACAGAGATCAGCCTGGCGATGGTCTCCTGAGTGCTGGGATTAAAGGTGTGCACCACCATGCATGCTGAGACGGGACTGTAAAGGGGTAGATGTGCAGAGCAAGAGCGGAAAGAAGAGGATGCTGGAGTTAATATAATAAATGCCGAGCGCCCCAAGGGGATGTTCTGCATTTGCAATCGTATTGCAGGTAATCTGTTGCCCCAATGAGTCAGGGAGGAAAACAGAGGTATTAAGTGGGAAAAGATGGCACTGCTACCTAGAAAGACCACAGTGTGGTTTGCTAGACTGAACATCTTTAGGTGACGAAAGTGGTTGTATGCACAATGACAGCCAGCACTAAGCATGGCACTTCCTACATCGGGAGGAAGTTCCAAACTATAAAGTCACTTGTCAAACCTCACGGAACCCATGCGACTCTATGTCAGGTCCTTGACACGTTTAATTACAAATGAAAGCAGATTTGAATTTGTGCACTGCAGACTGAAGAATTCAACCTCATCCAGTCTTGTTTATTTTTACTTAAATATAGAAATAACTGTATGCTCTTAACTATCAAGTCATTTGAAAAATCAGTAATATACTACAGGAAAAGACCTTCCATTTCAGGGCAACAGAATCATCACAGTTCCTTGAGGGCACAGAGTTTTGTTTAATTGGCTTTAATGTGCCTGGCTGGCATTCTTGCAACACCAGAGTCACTCCATGCTAGCAATGGAAGCAGAGAGCTTAAATGACTGAGACAAAGTGAAGTCCAGACTCCCTGCCTAGGTTAAAAAAAAAAAGTGACACTTTATTATCATCCATCTTAAAAACATTTGTTACCTACCCATTGTTAAGTGAATTGTTTCTTTTGGTAATGAATTAAGAATAACACTTAAGACTTGGTTGGATCTCTTAAAGAGAGGGTGGGGAGGGAGGGAGAGAGAGAGAGAGAGAGAGAGAGAGAGAGAGAGAGAGAGAGAGAGGAGAGAGAGAGAGAGAGAGAGAGAGAGAGAGAGAGAGAGATGGCTCCTCTTTTTCTTACACTAGGAACTCTGGGACTGTGAACGTCACAGAACACGAAGTTGAAAACTAAATTTAAAATGTCTGGATGTAGATCTGCTTCAGCAGTAGCTCACCTAGCGCCTGTGAGGCTCCGGGTTCAGTCTCCAGAAGGGAAAATGAAAGTATGGTGGCAACACTGTTTGGACTCTATCAGGGACTCTGCAACCCTTCCAGGACGGT